ATATAAATATATATAAATAATATAATATAAAATAATAAAATAGTTAAACTAGTTAATGCTAGCTAAAATCTCCTCTCTGATACTGTTTTATGCAATTGTTAGGATCACTTTCCTGCTACAGGGCTGCCCAATTCCCTGGTGCTGTTAAATCCGTCAAGTTCTTTCCCAGTATGACCTAGAAGAACTACTTCCTTTGCAATTTTTTTGGACCTATATATTAGCACAATCTTTTCCATAAGGCAAAAATTCAAAAGTCCTATTCCACTCAGACATTTTGCCTACTTGTTGATTTCTGATTATACTAACCACTGAACTTAAGTGAAGAAGTAGAATCAGTCACAGGCTAGAAAAGTCCCAGCCATGGTTTATTCACTTCTGTTTTGCAGTGAATATTATCAAGTAAAAGGTTGATAATTTTTCCTTCTCCTCCATTTAGCTCAATCATAACATTCTATTACTAGCAAAGAAGAGATGCTAACAGTTTTCTCATTACACTAAAATTTTAATTTCAAGTATAGGAGCATCTGGCTATCCTTGATCTGAAAGCCTGTGCATTTTAAACCCATGCTGAAACAGAACACAGCCAAAGGAGACAAGGATTATTTGATGGGAGGATTATTCCAACAACATTGAATGTAGCTAAAGTTCACGCATAAAACATCAGCTAAGCAGGAAACTGTTAATTTGAAATAATAAGCAACACACATTGAATAACTAAGTGACTAATACTGCAAATAAAAAAATTAGCCAGTATAATCAATCACACATAGATTTTATGTGTGTTTAAATGTTATTAATTTCTGTAATATGTAACAGAAAACTGTTGAAGAAAATTAATTTAAAATAGCAGCTAACTTATCTATTCTGCCATTAAACAGTCGTTGAATAGTCACAGTAATTTCTATGTTTTTTAGTATCAAAACCTGTCAGGAGATAAAGAAATTATTCAGTATAGCCATCTTTTAAAATAGGATAGCAGTAGCAAATTTTAAACAGAATCCTTATTTTTCAGATAAATTCTAGCAATTTTCTATGTGCATCCAGAATAATGAATACGTCTATTACTATTTAACATTAAAGTCTCATATGTAAAAAAAACAAATTGTATTAAGGGTGACTGAAAGATGTACTGAGTTGTCCAAATGACTATCTGCTAAGCTACACCCCAAAATGCTTTTACTTGGACATTTTTTTCAAAATGCTCATCAACACTTCCTACCACTGAAACCTATCATGCTCTCCTAAACACTTAAATGTGTTAAACATTCTCACTAACATCAAGTTATAATCTCTTTTCAATACCCGTAAAGGAATTTTTAAAACTCGGGCACTTTTTAGTAGCATAACAGAGACAGCTGGAAAAGAATTTTAATATACACATAGTTTAGTGTACATATTCCAGTCTAAGCATTTGTAAAACCAGAAACAGATTTGGGCAAGGAGAGTTCTTTAAAGTTGGCATTAGAAAGGCATGGTCAAATCAACATCTGCCAAAGAACCCCAAAAAACACACTTACCCCTGTAAAGCTTTGTGAATTCGTTCACATTTAGCCCGAAGAGTCTGAAAAATGCCTACAGACAAATACAAAAAAAAAAAGAAAAAAGGCTTAGATACCTTGTTTCTCCTTTACATTTCCGTAAGTGTAAGATTTCATAAAAGCATTTGGAAGAAAAACTAAGATAAAGGTATCTATTGAAGTATGAAGTCTCTTCATAATGTTTCTGATTCCCATTTCTGCCAGGAAACAGGCTTTTAAGATTTGACAAATGTATTACTTCCCTTTATCTCATTATTCCAGATGCATTGGTTCATGATCATATGGAAAGGATGACACAAACACTTCGTAATAGGATTGAAATGGCAGGTCTGACTTACTTATATCTATAAAATATTTACAACCATGCAGATTCTGCTTCTTGATCCTTTCACCGACTCACTGCAGATTCTTAAACAGGAAACTTTAACTCTTTGGATTTGCAAGTCTTGGCTCTTTTCCTTGGTAAAGGTTGACCCTCCACTACAGCTGACAGTCCCATAACTTACTTTTAATTTTTTCTTGCTTTTGTTCAACCTCTGAGGTCTAGGCATGGGCTACTTTGTATTTTTTATTTATTTGTGACGAAATACTTCATCTATCTGTGGATGTTCTCCAGTTTGTTGATGCTAATGAAAGTTAGAAACAAATACACGCAGATCTGGCCAATTTTATCTTTCTCAGATGCGTATTCCCCCCACTACTCTATGCAAACACCATTCCCCCCCCCTTCCCCCCCAAAAAAAATAAAATTAAAATGTCTTTCTTCTGTTCAAGCAATAAAGGCAATTTTCTGACTCCTGGAGCAGAAACTTCTGCCTGCTAACTTTATCTATATGTCCTGTACTCAGTCCTGCCAAAAATGCAGGTGTTTGCACCATGATAATTCCTGAGATTCTTGCCTGGATGCTTACTTGGAGAAGAAAAAACAAATTATGTAGTGCAAGTGGAAAGGTTGTTCAGCCCTGAGAAACTATATTCCCATTTGTTTCTCTTTAACCTTCCTTTCTTCCTTTTGTCTTGAAGGAATTTATTTTCAAGTAAGAAGCATATCACTAATCTATAAAGCAGAATAGTAATTTATTTGCTTAATGATAACCGTATCTGTCCCTCCTAGCCTGAACTAACTCACTCACATTCAGCTAGAAGGAGGAAACACTGAAGAAGAAAAGTGGGATGGGAAACGGTATTAATTAAAAATCATTCATGTAAAATTAATTAGCTGAAAAAAAAGAGAGGACTTAAAAGAGTAAAAGGGTGAGGAATCAAAGTAGGGAGAAGTGCGAGTTACTAGTTTTGGGTGAAGAATGACTGAAGAATAAAATTCTCCTGAATTAAGTACCTGGATTATCTTCCATGATATTCAGAGCCTCAATAGCAGCAGCTGCTAACAAAGGAGGTAGGGATGCAGAAAAGCAGTAGCCTTGACCAGACAATCGCTGTGGGGGGAAAAGAAAAAAAGAAAAAAGGAAAAAAAAATTGCTTTTTGTTCATAGCAGCATATACAATGTTTTAAGTTAAATAATGTACATTTGAATAACCTCTCCTCCACACTTACAGGTACATGGAAAGATTTAAAAGTAGATCTCCAATTCACCTACAAAGTTTCATATAATCAAACAGTTTCTGTACGGAAACAGATGTTGCAAAATAATTTATATCATAACACTCCTTGCACATTGATATTAGTAACTAGCTCTCATTTCTAAGTATGTAACCCTGCCATACCATATAAAAATGAGACCTGGCTTACCTGATGGTCAATAATGAATGACCTTCCACAGCAAAATCCTCCAATAGAAGCCAGTGAATTTTCCATGTTTGCACTAATAAGATCTATATCATCAATCTGCCAATTAAATTAAAAAGTTAAGAGATGCATCAAGATTATTTATAAGATAAACCTATTAAAGATGTGTCTTGTTTCATATTATTATGAATACTAGAGAAGACCCACCAAACTATCTCAAAATTAAGCTACCATCAAAGTAACAATTTTAAGCAATATAACAGGACTTTAGAAATTTGTATTTATGGATATGCAGACAATTTACATAGGATCACCCTTTTCCAGGCACTGCAATGTGAAGAACACAAAATTACATGGATGCTGGTGACAAGTCCTCAAAGCACTTAGTGTGACAGTGTCCTTCAAGAATGTAAGTAGTTCCACTGCAGTCAGTGGGAGTTAGAATATGATTGAAATTGAGCATAAGACTTGTTAAACCAGAGTTTGAACCTCGGAGACACAATTGTCCTATTTCACGTGTTACTTGCAAATATATTTTTCACCAGGCTCTGTAGGCACACTGATGACCACTGAAAAAAATACACATTCTGAGAAGACAAAACTGAAAGATTATGTTTGTGAATTAATTTAACATAAAAGCCAATTGATCAGATGGGACTTGGCCAGCATCACCACAGCACCATTTGTTTCCTTTTCTAAAGCTGTTTAACATTCATTTTCTCTTTTTCCCATTTGGTATTAAGACAACAATAGGAGATAGGGGAAGACAAAATAATTATCAGAATTTTGTATTTCACTTCCAATCTGAGCTTGGACACTGTCAGAATGTAGTGTGAGATGCTTCATACTAACACTGGCAACCAAAAGAGCACTTATTCCTTCCCCAGCTCAGGTGGCTGTGGCAACAAATAACTGCAAGGATACCATCTTGGATTTCCAAACTGAAGATAAATATATATCACCTGAATAAATACCACGAAAGGTAGACTCTCGGAAAAACAGTTTGGCTTAATCTGCAGGTAAAGTAGTAAGATGATATCTCTGAAAGGATTGTCAAAAGCTCAATCCTATTTTTCCCCAATAGCGTAAAAGGCAATAGAGCAAAGTAGGTTGGCTATACACTGAGAGCATTTCTCTGACTTACCGCTAGTCCCCAAATATTTCTGTATAAGCATGACACTTATGTACCTGCAGCTGAAAAATACTGCAATCATCATCTCACTGAGTGTCCAAAAAAACAATGAAATTATGCATTTAAAAAATTATTTTGTTATCTTCCTCTCTAAAGATAAGCAAAATACTAAGCACATGAAAGAAAAGTGCCAAGAACTGGAAGTTTTAAGACTGATAAAGTATGTTTACATTTTTATCATACACAATTAAATGCCACAGGTATAAGAAATAAATTGTGCAATCTGCTTCTGTACAAGTCTCTTGTTCACAACAGAACTCACAAAAAAGGCACTTACATTTATTCCAAAATGTTCAGTAATTCCTCTTCCATGTTCTCCAAGGACTCCAAAGGAAAGGCTCTCCTCCAAAAATATTCTAACTTTGTATTTATACTTTAATTTTACCTAAAACAGAGAAAAAGATATATAATGCAAGTTAAGGTCATCAGAATTTGGTAACAAAATACGTGGAAAAGGTAAGATAAAGACAGACAAGTATCCTGAATACTGCAAAAATGTCAGACATTTTAAAAGCCTTCAGAATTCTTTCACGATACAAGACTAAATTCCATAAATGTTCATGTACCAAAAAAATTATTTTTTTTAACAGGCTATCATGTACTTTCAAGATAATGAATTTTCACAGCATTTCTTCCTTTATCTACTAGAATACGGTCTGCACAAAAATCCAATTTATGCTGAGTAGTTAATGTTTGCCTTGGTGTCACTGTTTGTGACAGCTGTGTGAAGATTTCTTTGAAACTTCATCTTTTTTTTTTAGATATAACTTAGTTTAACAATTTAGTGTCATACAGCATAGCTGAAAATACACTTTTTAACCTGCAAACTATATTAAGATCATAACCAGATATTCATTTGCAAGTCTTACTACATATAGCTTCAAAATTCTAATCCTGATCGGAAGTTTCAAAATAACAAAAGATTGGGAACTGCCATTTCATGACCACTTGAGAAAACAAGTAGGTAAACAAAAACTATCATGCAGAGCTTTTCTATGAATGATAACTATACGATACTAGTATTTTATTAGCCACATGTCTTGATAGTCATATTTTAAAAGGCAAATTGAAACAACTTACCAGTTCTGGAAGAGGGCAAAGATCTCCTGTGTTCATATACAATCCTTCCACCACAATAAACCTTCGAGTTACACGGGCCTTGCGAGGATTCTTCAGAGAAAGAGATGGTTACAGTTCATATAAATTGTTACTGACACGATTTTTTTATAGGAAAGGACAGTAATTGGAAGGGAATGAAGATGATGTCTCTTTTTCAAGTAAGCTTTTCCTTTGGTTTAAACTTCATATTTACTATTTGCAACAAAGGTTAAAATAACATATTGGACTAGTTTTTCTATATTTTGCAATAATGTTAATGCTTTTAACTCTTACAGAAGATTTAAGATGCCTCATTTTGCAACAAACCATAACCAATTCATTTGAACTTAATGAATAACATACAAGTGATTTCAACAAGCAGTTTGTGCACCAGGATTCTCAGTGGAGCACAAAGCTCACAAGTTATGTCTTCATAAAACACAATCCAAAAGTATTCATAACATTCAAGATGCAATCTCCTTGTCTGATCTCTGGACAATATAGGCCATAGGAATATTCAGCACTGGTTTCTGCTTAAACTTCAATTATATGGTTTGAGTTTAGTTGTTTAAAATGCCATTCCCCTGGTATTTACTTTAAACCTTATTGATATCTTCTGTTCAAGGCTATTAAGTCGCACTTCTTACCTCTTTCAGTTCTTTGTAAAAAGGTTCAGAAAACATCTATTTGACTTTTCCGAGTGGTAGGCACCAAAACTAGGCATAGTCCACTCCACAGGTTGGACCAACTCTAGCGGTAGGACCTACCCCTTCCTAGTCAGTATCTCTTAGTTATACACACATGGTCTATATTAAGTTCTTGGCCACCAACTTCATGTTCACATTCAGCTAATTACATTAAGAAACTTTAACCATGTAGCTAAATCAAAGCACTCTGCTCTAACAAACCAAATGTGTTACATAAATTGCATGACTAGTCTGTCAACCACATTTAAAAACTCGTGTAAACATTATCTGACAAAATGTATTTTTCATGAAGTTATGTTAACTAGTCTGTTGTCTATGAATTTGCTATTTATGAGATCCATTACTGATTTAGACTGATGTTAAGCTGATGGGCTTACACAGTTGATCTACTTTACTTTCTCTGCGTGTTAGCACAAAGTCAACTTTCTTCCAATTGTCCATAACTTTCCAGCACTCTGCGAACAAGACTCATAATGGTGATAGCTTGCAAGCTAATTCTTTTAAAACTAATTTAATCAAGTTATCTGTACTTGCTGTTCTTGATTTTAGTAGTTGCTTTTGGACACCCTTTTGTATTACAGGAAGAATGAGAAACAAGTCAAACTGACCCAAATATTTCAAGAGAGAAAACATCTGAAGAGCACAAGATAAGGGAAAAGTCAAAGCAAAAAAATTAGTAACTTTGAGGGTTAAGACTAGCTGCTTTTTTGTTGACTTTTCAGTGTGGCATTTGAACTGATAATTAACTTGCATGATTTGCAGATCCTCCTAGAAGCTATGCTGATGCATATGGAGGACAGGGAGGTGATTCAAGACAGCCAGCATGGCTTTACTAGGGGCAAGTCCTGCCTGACCAACCTAGTAGTTTTCTACAGTGGAATGACTGCATCAGTGGACAAGGGAAGAGCTATGGATGTCATCTATCTGGACTTCTGCAAAGCCTTTGACACAGTTCCCCACAACATCCTTCTTTCTAAGATGGAGAGGTATGGATTTGATAGGTGGACCATTCAGTGGATAAGGAATTGCCTGGATGGTCGCACCCAGAGGGTAGAGGTCAATGGCTCGATGTCCAGGCAGAACGGTGACAAGTGGTGTCCCTCAAGGGTCTGTACTGGGATCAGTGCTGTCTAATATCTTCATTATTAGGAAGCTCAGTTCCTGTGAGCTCAGTTCAAGTGGTTACAAAAAGGCAAATATTTAAATATTTTTTTAATTGATCTTAATTACATACGCAACATTAACTGCTTAGAGATTTATGAAAACGAAATAATTGCCTACAGCATTGCATCCATTCAACTGCACAACCTAGCAAAAATTGTGGGGGAGGTGGCTCAAAAGACTATGAATATTTTTCAAAGGAATGGTACCTTTTGATCTTCAGTCTCTTGTTCTTTCAACAGTTGTTCAAGGTCAGCCATATCATTATGCTTAAATAACTTGATGCTACTACGAGATGCTTGTAATCCCTTCTGAATAGCAAAGCAGGCAGCTTCATCTCTGTAAATACAGCAAGCCCTTTTAAGTTTGCACTCAGTTTAACAATTATTCAAAGAAAGCTGTCCCGCTTCTGTGCGGATATCTGTACTTAGGTGTAGTTAAAACCAGATTTATTAAAGCATCGTATATTTTATTCACATTTTGAAAACTCATTTCCAAAGCTTCTCAAGTTTCCTATGCAAGCCAACAGGCTTTTCCTTCAAGTGTATACTGGTCCTTTTGTTTGTATGTGCCAGCAGTTTATCTGAGCACAGCATTCCAGGGACCTGGTACTATACCATGGTAATCATCCAAGAAACCTCTCACTCCATTTGCTCTGGGTCTTAGAAAGAAGGTGCAAAGATGTGCCTGTAACATTTATAGTGGTTCTCCAAGTATTCATAATCTCCTTTTTAATATTCTTTCAAAATTACTATCGCAGTGGTGAAAGAACTATCCACGATATTAAAATGCTGGAAAAGCAAATCTCTGAGCATGATAGGGTATGCAATTTCATAGCTGCTTAAGTCAAGTAATCTTTTAAAAGTGGCAACTAAATCAAAATGTCTGCACATGTGAAATGCAGTAGTTTCAACCAAGTTGTTTTTAAAGATGGTGATATTTTTTGTTAGTGAGAAGCTGAAATAGTACAAGACGTGACACTTCAGGACATGGTTCAGTGGGCATGGTGGTGCTGGGTTGACAGTTGGACTTGATGATCTTAAGAGATCTTTTCCAGCTTTAATGATTCTATGACAGCTAAATCCAGGATATGCTGGCATCTTGAATACTGTGCACAGTTCTGGTCATTTGCCTTAAAAAAGCTGATCCAGAAAATCTTCAAATATGACCAAAACACATGATCAAAGCTATGAAAGAACTTCTATAAAAGAAGTCAAATAGGCTGCAAGCTTTACACTTAGAAAAGAGAGCGCTGAAGAAGAATTTTTGGCAGACAAGTACAAAAGCACTCACTCACTCCCTCCATGGAGAAGATGCATCAGTTCACTGTATTAAAATTAAATGCATCAACTGAAATTAGTAGGTGTTATACTCAAAACATGTATTTCTTCATATGTTTTCATAAAATGTTCATGTTAAACTGTGGAATTACATGCCATAGGAACATTGTGGATATTAAAGATGTAAAGGTACTAAAAGAATAGGAAGGTTTAAGAAAAAAAAATTAAGTATCTCGAGTACTACTAAATCCAAACCCTCCTTTTTGGCTCAGAAAGTTTTGGGTATTGTTACATTGTTTCTCCTGTTTTTTCACTCTTCCCTAGACAAATGATGACTGGCTATTCTCAGGGACCAGTGGGCCTGCTGAATCCTTAGTTTAACTCTACATAGCTGTTCTTATGTTATTTTAATATGTACCAATATCTATCCAACTAATCCACTGCAAATATGCATGAGGGGAAAAACCATCATGGTGAAAAGCCAGCAGTAAACAGGAGAAAAGCAAATATGACTGTAGCTCTTAAGAAGAAAACTAGGTATCTGACTTCTGTTAGTTCCTACAGGCACAAGTTTGGTGGGTTTTTTTTTGTTTGTCTGTTTTTTTCAGCTGAGTGCCCAAGTCTGCTCTTCCATGATAAAAGCAGTAACTTATTTGATTTGGAGTATTTGGCAAAGAGAAGATAATTATCTTTCTATACCAAAGTACTTTAACAAACCCAGCATTATTTTCTAAAAGGTTAACATAATACTATTAACAACAAAGAAAAACTGAAAAGAAAACTCTTTAATCTGGAATTTCCCAAGTAGAAAACAATACTTACACAAACACAATGTCCCCTCTTTTTGAATATGCAGGAATAGCACTGGCAATTGTTGCAAACCCATATGAGTATATAATAGCTTCCTCTGCCCTCATGAATTTTGCTAGTCGTTCTTCTAGTTCTAAGTGCACATCTATTTGAGAGAAAAGTTGAGAATAGCTTAGTTTATTTGTTTTAGAAAGTACTGTATTAGAAATGCTATCTCTACTTTTAGCAATCATCAAACTGAAGAAAACAGAGTGTTTAATTGTAGTGTTACAACTAATAACTTCCCAAAAAGCAGCTGCAACCAATCCAACCTTACTTAAAATGACAAGCAACCAATCAGAAGCTTTGACAGATCTGAAAACATATAATGTGGTTCTCTCATGTTCTTATGTAATGGTAATTAAAGTCTACTTGTGACTAGGTCACAAGTAAATGAAGCAGCATTCCTCGACTGTGACTAGGGAGCACAGTTACTGCAGCCAGACACCAAACAGCTATGTAATTTATAGCAATTAATGAGGTCCTTTTGGCAGACTGTCAGTTCTCCCAAGCTGATGCTTCCACTGTGTATAGCATAGCTATCATTGTAACAGAAAACTGCTCCTATCAGGTTGCAGTTACATACCACCTCTTGAACACACTTCAGTCAATTGAAGAGGTTGCCATCTCCATGCCAGAGATTATTCACCCCCAAGATAAACTGACACAATTACACACACAAGCATTTCCCAGAAGAATTTGGTCAAAGTGACCTGTGCTAGAAACAAAACAACATTAAATCAAAAGATTAAGAAGGGTAATAGCACATGGTAAGTGGATTTCTGCTATAGTTTGCTAAAACAAACTATTCTGCATCAAATATTTGAATTGCATAACTCTCTTGCCACTACCTGCTTCTGCTAGCAAACATTAGTCAGAGAACTATGCCTTCTAACAACTGAAAATAAACAAGATTAAAGGGCAAATAGAGGTCCTTGGTGTGTGACTTGAAAGATTACCATTGGCCAAATGTTACCATTTTGCAATTATTGAAACATCATTGAAACTAAAATCAAATGAGGCAACATCAGTTAAAAATACAGATTCAATAGCCTATGAGGCACAGTTAAGTCAATGCTGCTATTTCTAGTCAGGTATCAACAACAGCAAGGCTGTAGGAAAAAAGGGCTTTCTAAAAAAAACCAAACAAACACAACAACAAACCAAAATAAAAAAATCTTAATTTTGACATACTAAACAAGAATCTAAAATAACCTTCCCCCAAAAGGGCACACCCACTCAATTCATGTATTTATACAATTAAAGCAAAAGGTATGCCTTCAAACAACAGCCTCCCAATCACAGTCAAGAGCAATTTTATCCATAGACTGCAGAACTTTAAATCTTCAACAATCCTTTTCTAGTGTTCACCTAGAAAATAGAATGGAAAGGAATTCTTTCATTTGGTTTTCCACTGGTTTTAAACGAAAAAAAAAAAGTTTAATAATTTATCATTTAAAAGCTTTCTTTTGCTACCTATTGCTTTGATCCAGCTATATAAGGTATACCAGGTAAACCAAACATTTGGATAAGCCTAGAACAGCCTTTCTTCTCCAAAGTCTTTGAAAGGAAGGATACTGATTAGAGTTATCTAATCTACTTTCTGACAGAGGTTTTAAGTGGTCATTTTTCGGAATTTTTGAATCTTTTTCTTTAGCGTTACATGGACTTCAGGACCAATAAAATAATCTCCAGTCAGGCTTCAAAACAGGATGGATGAACTTTGATTGAAGTACTGAACAAAGTGCCCAAGAAAGATCTTTTTTTCTGGCAGCAAGCACTAAAATAAGGGGCTGGCCACATGGCACTTAATACACGCAATATAAACAACATTCAGCCAGAAATTTTCCTTCTTGAAGCCCTGCCAATAGGGACTAACAAATCAGAGGAAACAAGGACTTATCTACTACTTTCAGCTATTGATACCTAATGGAGAAAAAAAATGTTTTGTTTGAGTGTAAAGGATGACCTATATCCTTTAACTTCAAAACTGGAAAAGATGACGAGACCATCACAGTTATAAATGAAAACTTGAATGCTTCTCATTGGACTTTACATAGCAACAACCACTACTACACTCAGCAAGGACTATGTAAAAAAAGTAGGTGAAAGAAATAGTGTCAGCTCTAATGAGCTAATGATATATAATCAGATCTGTGATAATGAAAAAATTTTACAAGCCTAGTAAATTTTGCCAAAGGCAAGAATATTTAAGTTGAGAATGACATACAGCATGCACAAATGTGATACAATATTACATAAGGGCGTTAATGCTTTGTACAACTGTGATGTTGATAAGCTTAAGACAGTATTAATTAAGGCTTCACTACCATTCCACCATGATAAAAACATAACATTACCAGAGTCTTTTTATTGTTTATTGCAATGGTTGGCTTTAGTCTGGTTACATCACCTGGATTAGCCAAGTTTCAGTGAAAGCTGCAAAGGCTACCTAAAGTATATTTGCTGAGAGAAAGACATGACTGGAACAGCTTTCCACATAAATATTAAACCTTAATAAAGCTATTATTGTCAACAACTGCTTTTAAGTGTCAGTTTAGCGCCCAGCATGTGCTCACATGCAAGTCAAAAGCAGAAGAACTGAGACCAGAACCCACATTATCTTCCACATATTTTATCAGGTAGTCAGTCCTGATCTGCACAGTAGTACTGAAATTGTGGCTGCCAGACAATCAACAACAGCCATAAAAAAAACCCCACTACCAAAAAAGTTATATGACCCTCAGCTGTCATTGTGGAGAAAGTAACCATAAAGATTCATTTATGTGTGGATACACTAGTATTTCAAGCTTACAATAGGATAAAAGCATGGATGCAGCTTTAAGGGATGCAGCACAAAGCAAAAATGTCTTATCAGGAACTCATTCAATCTACAAAATCCATTCAAACAGGCAGATATCAAGAGAGAGAATCAAGAGATATCAATGGAGAATCAAGTCTCCATTCAAAATAAACCATAACATGATATCCACATTTCCAGGTAAAGAGATCTCTAATACTGATAAGAAATATCAGACCCTAGCAGATAGTTCTGAATGTAACAATTTACAATCATCAGTTAAATCCTATATAGTCAAGTAAGAGGCAACTTTGTAGTTCTGGACACAACATGACTCATTTACCAGTCACAGCATAGTAAAAATTGCATTAAAAGTCCGAGGCATAAAACATCACTGACATAAGAGGTGTTTCTTATCAGAGATTCGTAATTCTGAAATACTCAAATGTTAAATGCAAGGGAAAACGGGAAGACAGTTTGGGATCCAACAAGAACTGCAGGTGTTTGTCTCAAATTTTAAACGAGTTCTTTGTTACTTTATTTGTAAAAGATGATATCTCAAGTAGGTGAGTATAACATAATTCCTTCACTAGTGACATCATGCAGCAATATCATAGATTATATTCCTTGCTTTATGAAATGAAGCATTTACACAAAAAATTCAAAAGCCAATAAACAGCAACCAAACTAAATACAAAAGATATATAGTCTGGATCTTAGCATTAGACAGCCAAAGGCAGCAGGAAACAACCCACAGAATCTCTCACTTACCAGAGAAAAATAAACTTCTAACCAGTCTGTTTTGAAAAATTATGAGAAAGAAATAAAGTGAAAGATTTCACAAAACTTAAAATCAGCCTGGATTCAAAAGGCAGGAGGCATTAGTCCAGAAGTTTGTTTGAGCTTTTCAGTGTTTTTGAAGGAAAAAAAGAAGTTTGTATGAATTACCAGTACATAAAGGATGGCTACCAAGAAGATGAAGACTCCCTTTTCACAAGGAGTCACATGGAAAACACAAGGGGTAATGGACACAAGTTGCTTCTGGAGAGATTCCGACTGAACTCCAGAAGAAATTTTTTTATCATGAGATCAATCAGACATTGGAATAATCACACAGGGGAAGTGGTGAATTCTCCTACTTTTGTCGGTTTTAAGAGTCAGCTTGACAGGGTGCTGACTCATCTCATTTAAACTATACTTTTACCTTGAGAGATCCTTGTGGTCCTTCCAACCTGGTATTCTATGGTTCTATTAATTCCAACAGATCACTGCTGAATTGTGATCAGTGAGGGATTCTGACTTCCTAAAAGCTCTCTACCAATCAATGAGCTACTATTCAGAAATGAATTATCGTTCTAGGCTAATGATACAAATCTTACAGATTGTTCAAAGACTTGACTCCATTCTGATATATAGACTTCTAACAAATCAATATATTGGTTTATTGCCTAAAGGACTGGCTTGATTAACTGAGAAAGTTTCAAGTTATTCATGAATTCAAGTCAAGGCTATAGCTTGACTCTGAAATCATTGGAGTACAAATATACTCTGAATTCCATCACCTCTGGAAAGAGACGGGAAAGTTCACAAGATGATGAGTCAATGGTTTTAGCCGGCAACTGTCCAGCTATTCATGTATTACTCCTTGGTTTCCATGCAGTATTTCAGAACATAAATGCCTAAAAAGAGCTATTTCCAGAGGTCAAGGCTATAGCTTGACTCTGAAATCATTGGAGTACAAATATACTCTGAATTCCATCACCTCTGGAAAGAGACGGGAAAGTTCACAAGATGATGAGTCAATGGTTTTAGCCGGCAACTGTCCAGCTATTCATGTATTACTCCTTGGTTTCCATGCAGTATTTCAGAACATAAATGCCTAAAAAGAGCTATTTCCAGAGGCTGATTTTTAACAATTTACTACTTCTTAAGATGAATGAAAAACCCTTAGTAACACCTGTTCACATCATAAAATCTCTTAATCACAACATTAAAATTATCAGTAAAGGAGAACTTCATTCTAACTACAGCATTAGATAAATTTAACCAATAATCTTTATCACAGAAATCAGACTGCCCTCTTGTGGTCTACTTAGAAACCTATTATTAATTTACACTTAAATTTTATCATGCACAATTAAACACCAACATGTTTATTTTCTCTTTCTACTAACACTATTAATCCTTAATGATTACAGTAAAAAGTGTGTTAGAGGGTAACTGTTCTTCAACAGCGTTAGAAATAATTTGCTGCTTACCTACCAAACCAGTCTGAACATCTTTGAAGGCAGATCAAAGAAAGTTACTCACCAAAAGTACCATAGAATCCTCTAGGTCCACAAGTGCCAACACCATATTTCTTCAGAGATGCCTGGGCTGCAGTCTTTAACAGAAAATACTTACATGAAATATTTATTCTTACATCAGACCTCTAACTTTTCTAAACATTTCACATCGACCATTTCATACCAATGTACACAGGCCAGTTCTTGCATGTGACACAACCAGCTTTACAGAAAGTATAATAATGTACTGAATTCTGTGAATTAATTTCACATCAAAACTATGTTAGACAAGTGTCTAAGCATAATTCCTTGTATTCTAATGATTAAGGACATTAGATAATAATGTAACTTGATAATCAGCTATTACACATTAAGTACACCATATTAAACTTCAGTAGAAAGACAAACTTAAATAGCACAGAATTACAAGCTTTATAATCTTCCTTGCTGTGTTAGAAGCATACTTCCTTGGCAAAGTTTGTGTTTTCTAAAGTCACTCTTAATTTCAAGATAACATATAAAGTAAAAGAGGAAAAAAATCACACAAATACAATAGCTGGAAGAACTCACCTTAACCTTGTCATTCTCCAAAAGTCCAAGAAAATTAAACGATGCAAAGTTAACACATTCCTTGCCATTAGCGGTGATTACGTGGGTGGGAGGACTGAAAACAAATTACAGACTTGTTGTTATAAATGAACAGTTGCCGTTTTCATAAACAATCAAACAGTACAGGAATTTTTCCTTTTTCAGCAGTAGAAAACACAGCTTTTTCAAGATTCCCTCTTTCCACGTCTTCCTTTGCAGCTGTCAATCAATATTTAAGTGTTAAGTCAGAAATATACTACCATACTAAGCAAACACTGTACTCCTGTAGTTTCAGAAAGAAACGTTAAATTCCTTCCCGAGGTATTTAGTTTAATGATTGGTTGTTGAAAGCTTAATTCATACAAAGATGACTCCTGAAGAGATAAATAGAGCTTCTTGTTTAAAAGCTAAGTGGTAACTATTTGACAGGAAGAATACTACAAATAGAAAGAAATTTCATTGCTACTTACTTCCATGATAAAAAATGAAATTAAAACCAGTGTTTTTGTCATAAAGCAAATCCACAATACCAATCTTGCACTGAATAGGGCTCCTGAAATACAGGTACTAGTTGTGAGTAGACAAACGTACTGTATTATCTGTCATCTTAAGTTTCCAATGCTGTTTAATCTGTAATGGTTTGAATAACTCATGTCATCAGGGAACACAGAAAGTGTGAAAACAGCCAACATTAACAAACAAACAAGAGTCTACGCAAATCTGCGTGCTGTATTCTGAAAGCAATTCTGGTTTGGCACTTACACACTCCAATACTACAAAATGAAAGTTTCAATTAATTACTCAGAGCATTAAGAAGTGTCAAAAGCCAAATATGAAATCTTATGTCTGGCCATTTCTGTATGTGTTGTCAGATACTATAGTTGAGATCCTATACTATTCCTCAAACACAATAGTTTCAAAAAGCTTTTCCCATGTGGAAACTAGCACTGAGCAATTTTCACAATCAAAATTAAGTAGGGCTGCTAAAATGTCAAATGCCTGTGCATAGCTGCTCCAGACATGGTTGCTGACAATACTTCAATGGGTACATTTGGTGTAATTCAAGCTATTCACTACAAGTTAAGAAAAACACTAAATTTCCCAAACTTCACTAAAAAAACTCCATGATTTTGTTTGACATCTGTTCACTTTAAGAACTGAGCACATGTTGCTTCAATCAAACAATTGTAGTGCTTACAAAACAGTTTTGGAAAGCTTTCCACTAACAGTACCTGTGTCATGCTGCCACAGCTCCACCTCTCAAACCTAGAAAACATACTAATATTCACCAATAACTTGTCCCTAACAAAGCTGCTGCCCTCATGAAAACATGGCCATACTTTGCTATCAGAATTTTATCCAGCCTTCTAAATTAACACTCATGGTTAGGCAGAAAACACTCATGGAAAAGCTTATTCTAGTGAATAATTACATCCAAAACATGAATGCTAACAGTATCATAAAACCTTCCTTGCAACATCAAAAACAAGTCGTCTTTGAAAAAGGAAAGCAGTGAAACACTTAATTTCTTTATATTTTCATGTATCTCACTTCCTTTAATATAACACAGTGCATTAGGTATGATGATTAAGGATAAGAGTTTTTGAGATACTGAGTGATTCAGCTGAAACTGTAAATAAAGTCACAATTTCAAGCTGTATTCAAAGAACTTGCAAGCAACTCGTTCAGAAATTGGCTTTATAGGACTGAAAGCACTCCATCCGTACTTGGACCTAAGCGTTGCATGTACTGAAAAATCAGTCACAGAATATTATAAAGTTGAAAGTCAGATCATTAGTGCCTTTTTATTTTAAAGCAAAATGAGAATCAGCACAAGAATTTTGGAAACAATGTTTTAGGAAAAAGGTTTACATTTCCTGAAGGAGATCTTGCACAACTAGGCTACCTCGCACAGATTAGTTAACAGAAAGGCTACTGAAAGAATCAGTTAATTTTTGGACAGTGACCGAGCTTTCATGGGTAACTTATTCACTGTTCATTCAAGATTGGCAATTTTTTTTTGTTTTTGTCAAGTCTCTGCATAATTGGCTTTGGTTATAATTTGACAGCATTACTGGGATTATGTAAATGTTCAGCAGAAAGGAGCATACTAACATAATGCACAAACTGCCTTGCATATTGAGGGAGGATGAAGTCTGCCTTCCACACACAGTGGGTCAAAATTTTTACCAAAATATTTAAAATTTCCTAAGTGGTTATGAGCCTATATAAACTATCCACACATTACTGCAAATACGCAACATTAAACCATCATATCGTAAGATAATTAAGATTTATGTGAATCGCCATTCATGGCAGACATTAACACATTCAAATCACTGAAAGAAGAGTACCTCATTAGCATCAATACAGCCCCCCTAAAATACTAATTCAAAAGGGAACAGAAATGCTCTGGAGCTGGAATTAGGATGCAGATGCTTTCATTTCTGTATCAATTCTGAAACGTGGGTTAAGTTTATAGCCCAAGTTACAACCTCATAACTGTTGAGCAACTTATGGGAAGGTAGTCAGTTTAGATAGGCAGTTTAGATCTTACAAGACAAATGCCAAGTTTTTCCCATAGCTATCATTAACAGCCACAACATATTAACATTCTGCCACAACACATTCCCTAGTTGTAAGCACCAGAAAGTTCTAAATAATTTAAACATTTTTCTGAATCAATTTGTTCAGACTTTTTTTTTTTCAGAACATCCAACACTTCCCTTAACTCCACAGTACTGCTTGTTTCAAAACTCTGAACAATAACCAAAGGGTTGTTCACATTACAGTTGATTAAAATAGGCATCTCTTTTCTAAGGCAGACTTTTCCATGATGGCAGAACCATCAAAATGGAGCTTCCTATGACAGCAAATATTGTGCTTCATCATCGCATTATTTCACATTACTAGTGTCACTAGAAGGATACTAAGAATGTTTATATTGTACAAGTTACTGACATAAACAAATCTGAAGCTTCTGAAAAAAATTTCAAAGTAATTTCCAAAATACTGCAACTCTTGCTGAAGTCAGCACAAATTTTAAAAGCCTCATAACATACCAGAAATCACTGCTGAGTCATAATCTCCTCACTAAACTTCACCATCAAGCATCTCCACTTCTGATTGTCCCGAGAGGAAGAACTTTTCATGGAGTGCCAAGTGACTAGCCACAAAATCAGTTTCTCCTGAAGTGATTTATGATTGCAGTTTTCCCCATCCCCTACACAGAAGCTGGTAACCACTTTTGAAGGTCTAAGTCTACATACTCAGGAAAAATAAAATAAATTACTACCAAATAATACAGATCGATAATGAAGGCAAAGGTAAAGTGTCTCTCCCCCTACTCCCAATGCTTAAAAATTTACAACACTTAAAGTAAGAAAGATTTTCTTAATAAGGTAGTCTTGATAATGTTGCAAAACCAAGACCATCTCTTCAGTAGCAAATTCAGTCCTGCTATCTAAATATGCAATTAATTTATAACAGGTTTTCAGGATAGGGAAATGTTTTGTAAGAAATATACTTTAAAATATGGACATCAAGTATTTGAGTTGAAAGCTAGAATTTATTCTGGTTACATTTACCCTGAAACAATGTTGTAGTTGAGAGCTGGGTGATCTTTTGGTACGGGAGGTACAAGAGGCTCTGGTTGCCATTCTTCAATCAACTCTTCTTTTTCCTAAACAGGAGAGAAGAAATATGACTCAAAAAGGATTTCCAATAGAAGTAATCTAATACACTAATAAACAGTTGGCAATAGTTGTATGAGAA